CTATGAAGCCTAACAACAATGTAAACACAAATCAACAAGATTTGAAACGCTAGTCGCTACCCACTAAGCACTACACAAACAAATTGAAATGGGCTTTTATAAGAACCTAGTGACTAATATGTTGAGCAATGCGAGATCGTCAATTCCGATTCTCCATTGAGCTAGATATGCAAGTTTATTCGAGAAGGCAACAGTGAATGGTGCCTACCTTTACACCGCAGTTTCTCTTTTGAGTTTTGTTCCAAATACGATCTGAAATGGGAGAATTAGCGATGTACTGCTACAACTACAGTTTCAAACAATTTTCATTACCTCTTTGTTTCTTGCAGCCAACTGCTCCTTTTCTAGCCACTCCATCTTATGTTCGTGTTGAGCCACTGCATCTTTAGTATTCCTATCAATCATCTCAGGTGTCAACACTCCGTCTTCTGATGCATAGGCTGATGCCTAAATGAAGCTATCGCTCAGAATGAGTCCTGAATCGTGTTTCCTTAAGCTCATTCCCGAAAAGTTACCACTAGTCTTCTCACAAGTACGTCCCAAATACAATTCAGTAATGTGCCCGCTCAAAGGCGAACTATATACTCATCTCCCTCGATCCAGGTATTTGCCGTGAGGTAAAATGGTCCGCAGCTGCAGTAGCATGACACTTTCTACGCGAGGTCTGTAGTGATACCCGAGTGTCCTCTGCCGGGTATCACTAATGCTTATCCCAACTCCCGTGCTTTTTTAGGCAGAGAAAGTGGTGGGCTACTCCAGCTGTAGCTCATTCAGCTCGCACACGTATCGTCGTCGGATGTGAGTGTATAGTTTATCTTCGGTTAATTCTTTACTTGAAAATAATCATCGCGCGCCAGGAGAGAAAACAGAGTGAAAAAGGCAAAATTCCAAACCTGCCATCCGATGACGAGCTTGCTGAGCTCTCTTCCACTCATTCCTTCGGTTATATCGGCAACTTGCGCACACTTCTCTACCCAGTCGAAATTAGCCAATTTTAAACGTTGCCCCCTCGCACCTGAACGAAAATGATAATTCTGCTACAAAGTACTCTAGCCAACAGTAGCAAACACCTCCTCCAGAACATAAGAAGGAACACTACAAAAATAATAACTCACCACTAGTTGCTGGCTTAGCGATGTGTTCCTCGAAGTACTGCAATAATATACGCTCACGCTCCGGTCTGCCAGGAAGATCAAACTGAACCAGTTGATCCAATCTGAAGAGAAGTTTTGCATTTCAATTTGTCAAAATGATTCCAACTCCATTAGTAGATCACCTTGAACACCCTGTATCGGATGTTCGGCTAAGGAGTAGGGGGCGGGGGAGGAGTTTTGCACTTTTCTCGGTTCTCATTGTCATGTTGAGCCATCAGGTAGAGGCTTGTGAATTCTTACGAACTCGTGACACGATACCAAAGTTCGACTACTACCTATCAACCAACTCTTGGAAGTATACCTGCCGGTTCAGAGAAGAAGTGATCGCGACAATATGGAGGAAGCAGCGAAGCGAAATGCCCTTTCCCCCCACACCTCTGCATTCCTTCATAAAAGCTCCTTGTCGAGTAAAATAGCAAACGAACAATGACCGAGATAACTGTGATGCGGGTGACAGATAAAAATGGTTTTGGCACAATTCCTGCTCTCAATGAAATCGGAAAAAAATTATCTATATGAAACAGCTGAATTATATTGTAAAAAAAGCAAGAGACTACAACACAAGCAAATCTCTCACCTGTCATTGACAGCCCAATCGAATTGTTCCGGTTGATTTGACGCTACAACTAGCATGAAACGTCTGGATTGTTCACCAGTTCGGAAAAGGAATGCATTCAAAGCTGCACGCGTATCTTCCGACATTGCCTCCTGAACTCATTCTTTAATATAAACGAGCAGCGCAAAAGATACCAAGGTTTTTCACAAAAAAGAAACAACAGAAAACTTGTGCACATGAACGAAATCATCCAGAACCTACTTTTGATCGTTTCTGAAGAAAAGCATCAGCCTCATCAATGAACACGATCAATCTGTAAACATACAGTGTATTGCAGTAATGCACTCACGACTTTTCTCCAGTACTCTTTGAATCAGAACCAACCCTTTTCGACTACTTTGCGCCCAGTCGAAAACTTTGTGGATTGCTGATACACCATCACGTCCCATGGGTGCAATATCACCACCAGTCAGGATAGCGTAATCCAGTCCACTATGCTGAGCTAAGCTCTTCGCGAACAATGTCTTACCCGTACCAGGAGGACCGTAGAAGAGTACATTCCGGAACAGACCCTGGAATGTCGGAGTGAAATAGTGAAACGATCCTTCGAAAATCGGTAGAAACTAGCCTTATTCCGCCTTGTGTTTGCTGTCGTTATGGCAATGTCTCGGAGTTGTCTTTCAGCATTGGGCTAAAAACAAAAATAGAGGAAGAGAGACCTTAGGAATGGAAGAAGTGAATGTCATACCGAAAGAACAACACCCTTCAGGGGGTCATGTTTGGGCCGAAAGACCATCTTTGCCACTTTTATCGGATGCTTAAGCGTTTCGAGAGGAGTAATGCGGGAGGTTTCTCGCACTAAGCTGGGCTTTCCCAACCGAGCCTCAGCGTACCGAGCAACAACTCCTTAATAAGATTATTGGTTCGTGAAGGCTCCATTTGCATAGATTCATGTGAACAAACCTGTTCCGCGTTTAGCCACATACCATCCGACAGCGAGAGCGGTCAAAGTACCTACCTAAAAGGAAGGAAAATCGCTTCTCCTTAAGTTAGTCAAAAGTATTTAGACTTACAGCAGCAGTCATCTTCGTTTTGTCCGACAAGAAATCTTGAAGACCCGCCCCAAGGACAGCACCACTCGTTCTGAAAAACTTAACAAGTTGTGCAAGTTTGATGAAAATTGCGAAACTGTTAGTAAAAAGATAATTACTTTCATCGAACACACACACACACAAAACTGAAAGTGGAGAATACCTTACTTTATTTTCTCGAATTACTGTTTTCCTGTTTTCCTCTTCGTGAAGTTTCATCTGCTCAAGGTTGACGTCACTGAAAAAGCAACGATGCAGAAATAGAAATAATCAGAAATATATCAGAATTAAGATTTCTGGCAGAACAAAGAGAGCTTATTCTATTGAATCAGCTTCGGAAAGCAACTGAGCAACTTTCTTTCTCGAAAGCTAAGGAAAGAAGGCGCTGGGCTAAAGAAGGTAAACGAATAGGAAGCAGACGGGCTAGAGTTGGAATTGCTCAAAAAGTTCCTGTCAATTTTGAAGAGTGAATTTGGGCTACATGACGGGAGCCACATGGTATATCGGACGAGGGGAGAGAAGGTGGAGTAGAGCTGCGTATTTCATAGAAAGTAAGAGCAAATGTGGAAACGTCATGTAACATGCCTACCATATCTAATTCCCAGACTTTGTTGCAAGGAGAAGAAATGTTACATAAGGCGTAGAAGTGGCCATGGCAAGGAAACGTATGTGTTCCGGGATAAGTAGACACACATCCTCCCTCCCCAATACAGCCTGATTTCGCATAGTGGTAGGGCATTGATGAACGATCATGCGATTCGTCCTCATGTTGTTCTTATCCTCCCGTACAAATCTGGTAGCGATTTACCGTCCCCGGGGAGTCGAAGCCTTGGTAGGCCTGCGGCGGGAGCCGATGCAGGACTTGATCCCTGATTGCGCGCGTGGTGAGGGTGCCGCTAGCTCTACACTACCTCCGCTACACCACACACTTTAGTCCCGCATATTATGATTTCTATGCAATTCATGCAATTTGTTTTGTAATGTATAGAGAAAGCAAAAGAATGGAAGACAATACGCAATGGAAAGTACCGGTTTTCTCGTGCAGCTTTTGCACGAGCTCGAGTTTCAGCATCGATTTTCTCCAACTCGTACTTGTGTTGAGAGCTAGTTCGTGTTCAATAGTTGCTGAAAGTGAAGATCATTATTCAATTATAAGTTACCTCTGATATATACTACACGGTAAGGATATAGACTCCAACATATTTAAACAACCACCTTTTCTCAATGCCTCTTGCTTCTTGACGCTTTCCTTCCTGTTTTCGCAAGCTTTCCTCTTGCATCCGAGCCTTCATAGCCAGTTCTTCCTCAGCACGTTTTCTGGCGAGTTGATCTTGGTAGTCAGCTCGCTGCAAAGCAAATCTCAACGTCAGTTCAGGTATTTGAACCAAGCAAAATAGTTACAGCTCGTGCGTGCTTTGTCTCCTTCGTTCAAAGTTTTTCTACGTTCTTCTTCTGCTATGCGGGTTTGATCTGACTTCATTGCTTGTATTTGTGCCTCCAATTGCTGAAATTTACGTGCTTGCTAACATATCGGAAATAAAATGTGCACTTGAAAAGAAGATACAATGGAACAAAGGAAAAAAATGATGTGAGTATATAAAACCTTTGTTTGCTGTTCCACTTCCTTTTGCCGCGTCAATTCTTGTAATCGACTGAGTTCCAGAGCTTCTTTCGCATTGGGGAACCTTTCCAGTTCTTTTGCAGCTTTAGCAGCTCGCTCCAGCGCAGTTGAGTCAAACGAGTACGCCATTCTTGACTGCTGCTGTTGCTGCTTCCCTAGAAATAGTTGTTAACCCTTTCTATGGGGAGAACCTTTGCAAGAATAGCGCTAGATTGAGGGGTGAGGGAGGGCAGGGACCTGGCCGAGCGACTCTAGTCGTCTGTGCTCGCATAAGACCGCATTCAGACATCGCGGTTGGACCGCTCGAGCGAATAGATCGGGCGCACCATGACCGGGGGCTCGGGCGCTCCGAAGCAACAATTTGAATCATGCACCCTTTTGTTGCGGACGCGGTCTGAGGGGATCCCCGTTTCGATAGATATTCACTAGATATTCACTAGATATTCTCCCAAACCCTTCCCTATTTCGCCAGTCTCACCCCATGAACACTGTGATTTACGCAGTAAAAATGTACACTCGAGGAAAGGAGGGAAAGGGAATTATAACGTATCTCTATTGAACGCACTAGTTCAGATCTTTCTCCAATAAATTAATGAGAGTGAAAGCATCACAGAAACATCCACTCACCTTGTCCGGCTGGATCTTTTGGATCACCACCTTGAGGTGGGTTGAAATCAGATGGGATTTCCGGTGGTGTTGCGGGCTTTATTCCAAACAGCCAGGACATCTGAGGATTCGCAGAATTAAAAGTGTAGTAACACAGGCAATAACACTCCAGAGAACACTTTCAGCAGTTGTCACGGACAAAACCGAATAGGACAAAGGAACAAGGAGTAATATAGCAAATTTATAAATAAAAACTGAAATCATAAAATAAGCGAAGCGAGAAAATCATGCCTTAATGGCTAAATATCACTGAATGGATGACTGACACAGGTAAGATCTTGCTAAACCTATAAGTTGCTCATGGGACCTATGGAAAGAAGCGATAGGACAGAAATTTGCGATAATATCCAGTGATGTTTGTTTGATTTTATTTACAGGGTTGGATGATACAATCGAAGCTCTATGCAAAAAAGGAAGTGCCCAAAAATTATGTACTACATTGAAACCAGGAAACATGAAAGGATTATTTGCAGTTATGAACGCCCCGTTTCTACATCCCATAACCACACCGGAAAAATAGACAAGTTATGAGGACAAGTTCTCTATTACGGCTAGTAAATAGTCTTTGTCAGGTGCGATCATGATCTCGTTCTTCTTTGTGCGGAGACGAAGAAAGGTCAAGTCGTTGGACCCATCCAACTCGCGAATAACACTTTTTGATTTCTCGCAGAGCTGCTGGAGAAGTGCGGTATGTCGTGCTGTTGATTCATCATCCAGTGTGGAACGAATAGCACGACCTATAAGAGATGGAGTAAGTTTCAACGATGGTTTAAGCTTCAACATCACAGCAAAGTGAATTGGCAAGTGGATTGGTGGTACAGATAAATGCCAAACTGTTAAAAGTGGGAAGTTACAGATTGAGTGAAAAGGCAAGATTCTACCGATCTT